TGGCTCTCGTGGATTTGTTTTAATTTTCTTCAGCTTCAGCTTAAACTTGCATATGAACAAATGATGGTCTGATCCACATTTGGCCCCTGGACTTGTACTGATTGATGATATTGACCTTCTTCATTGTCTCTTTGCACAGATGTAGTCAATTTGTGGTGTTTTTTTTTTTTTTTTAAATCCCTTCAGTCTTTTAATGAAGGAGCCCTGGTATCACAGAGGTTAAATGCTCAGTTGTTAACCAAAAGATTGGTCATTCAAACCCACCAGCTGCTCCATGGTAGAAAGATGTGTCAGTCTGCTTGCATAAAGATTACAGCCTATCAAACCCTATGGGACAGTTTTCCTCTGTCCTGGAGGGTCACAATGAGTTGAAATCAATTCAATGGCAATAGATTTGGGTTTTGTCCTTTTAACTAAGCTTTCTTGAAGTATAATTTACGTACCATAAAACCACTTTAAGTGTACAATTAAATGACTTTTAGTAAATATTCCAGAATTTTTCAACCATCGCCCAAATCCAATTTTAGAACATTTCTATCACCCCAAAAATATCCCTCATGTGTATTTGTATTCAGTCTTCACTCTCATCTTAAGGCTCAGGCAACTGCTAATTCATTTCCTGTCTCTATAGATATGTCTTGTCTAAACATTTCATTTAAATGGAATCACACAGTATTTATTTAGTCTTTTGTGTCTAGCTTCTTTCACTTACCATAATGCTTTTCAAGTTCATCTGTGATGTAATTGTATATTGTTTTTCCCTTATTCCTTACTAGTTTCCCATTGCATGAAGATATCATATTTTGTTTATCCATTTACCTGTTGATCATTTGGATTGATTTCCATTTATTTATGTTGCTGTGAGCATATTTTACATACGCTTTTATTTCTCACTAGCAAGAAAATTGTTTGATTATATGTAACTCGTATTTTAAATTTTTAAGCAATAGACTTTTCCTGAGTGGCTATAACATTTCTACATTCCCACTGGCAATTTATGAAGTTTTCCAAATATTTACTAACACTGTTATTGACTATAATTTTAATTATAGCTATTCTAGTACATATAAGGGAGCTCTGGTAGCATAGTGGCTAAGGCACTTGACTGCTAACCAGAAGGCTGGCGGTTCAAACCCACCAGCAACTCCTCAGAAGGAAGGTTGGGCAATCTACTTCCATAGTGATACTGCCTAGGAAACCCAAGGAGGGGTCACTGTGAGTCAGGTTCGACTCGATGGCACATAACAACTAGTACATATAAAGTGGTATCTCACTGTGCTTTTGATTTGTATTTCCCTGATAAGCTAATGATGTTGGACATCTTTTCATGTGATAATTGATCATTTGTGTATCATCTTTGGAGAACTGTCTATTTAAATCTTTTGACCATTTTTTTTAGTTGGTTGCTCTTTTGCTTGGGTCTTATTATTAAACTCTGTTGTTGTTGTTGTTAAGTGCTGTCGAGTCGCTTCCGACTCATAGCGACCCCTTGCACAGCAGAACAAAACACTGCCCGATCCCGCGCCAGCCCCACAATCCCTGCTATGCTTGAGCCCATCATCGCAGCCACCGTATCAATCCATCT